CATTTGGGTCCAGGTGCCACTGATCTGCACCACTACCCCATTTGGACTGAGGTTTGGCTTCCTTGTGGGACGAGCCCTGCCTACTTTTACCCCACCCCTCGGTGTGAGGGCTAAACTGGAGTTTGGGGGAGCAGGAAGGGCTTGACCTGAAGGTTTGGTTGAGAGCCATCTTGACGCTTAATCAAGGGAGGTTCTAAGTCTGGCGGCTGTGCTGGTGACCTTGGGTGAGTCTCCAGTGTGAAACGATAATAAAGACGTGGACTGGAAACGGGAGTGGGAGGATTAAGTGTGATTAAGGGGGCTTGGCCTCACGTTCAGGCTTCACACTAGTTGGCCTCCATTCCCATGTGGCTGCAGGGAGTGGGGGTTGGGCTGTCTGCGAGCTCCTCCCCCACCAACCCACCCCGGAGGCACGTGGCAAAGCTTCAGGGCAAAGGGGAAGACTGACTTTCCGTAGGCAGGGAGCCAGCCCCAATTTTCTTCCTGTGTGGTTTGAGTCGGAATGGTGGCCTGCCCCCCGCTGTTCCATGATTGGGTCATGATTTGGGGTCCCAGAGAGTAGAAGTGACTCACCCAAGGTCACGAGGCCACCACTGGCAGCCAGGACGGGTTCCAGGTGTCTTGACTTGCAGCCCATCGCCTGTGTCCATGGCACCCCCCACCCCAGCTGTCTGGGTTATTTTGGGCTCCCTCCCGTGCCAGGCATCACTGCCAGGAAGCTGGGAAAGCTGTCTGGTTGAAAGTAACCAGCGTGGTGCTCTTGGCTCCTTTTGGCCCCCTTCCCTTGGCCCCACGAGGGTCTACAGTCCCAATAAGCTGGGTTTGGTCCATCTTTTGCTGGTGGGGGAAGGAGGTTCACTCTGCTGCACCTGGCACCAGACCCTCTTCCCCCGGGGGGGGGGGACGCTTTGTAAAAGTTGATGAGGTTCATGTTCTTAATATCCCGTGTGTGTCTTCCTTCCACTCTGGCCCAGAATCAAGATTTCAAATTCGGTGCTGCTATTGAATTGCTCTTTCAGCCCCCTTGATCCTCAGGTGACTGGCTTGCTGCCTGAGGGTGTCTGCCATCCCTTTAGATAGACTCCTTGGGGCTCCCGGAGACAGGGGTCTTTATGTCCCACAGGCATCGGATGGTTAAATAATTGATTTAAACTCCGCCCCCCCCCCCCCCCCCCCTTTGTTTTTTAAGTTTTTATTTAAATTCTAGTAAAAAAACAATGTAATATTAGTTTCAGGTGTACATTATAG